GTTTTACCTTTTTTTTAAATAGTAAAAGGTAATCATTGACATTAGATGTAACTTTGAGTGCCATTGACTTATGTTTGAAGAAGCTTTCTCAGAGTCCACATGAAGGGATGTTTCTTTAATTCCTTCCAAACTAATTAGCAAGCTAGTCATACAGGAGGCAGACTCTGCAGGCAGAGTCTGGCTGTCTCTGGAATTTCCTAAAAGGGACTTTGGGAGTGGAAAACAAGAGAAGTTAATGTGCATTTCAATTACATGTTACACCTGTTTTCTCAGACAAATGGCTGAGTAAGTTTTTGTGGTTACTCTGTACGATTTCTTTATACTCTTATCATATAAACCATTGGCTGCCAATTAGTTTTATTATTAGAATGTATATGTGCAAAACTTAGTATTATTAAGATTATATAAGCTTGTAAGAAATAGTTAGGGGCTGCGTGCCTGAGCGAGCTGCACTCTCCTCTCTTTCTGACATTTCAGTTGTGAACTTTTCCTCTGCAGCACCAATTCACGCAATAGCATTTTATTTAGCCATTGAATAATGTTTATTTGTAAAACTTATGTACATAATTATTGTAGAGATTTATATTAACAGGAGATTGGAATTAATCCAAATGTTCTTCAGTAGAGGACTAGTTTAGTGAGCTATGGATAGCCATATAGCGGAATATTATGTAGCCCTTACAAAGAATGAGCTGCTGTCTAGACCTAGGTGCTGACACACAATTATCTCTACAATACAGTGGTGAGAGTACAGGTACGTGTAGGTCACACACTGCCTTTGAGCGTGTGTTTGCCTATGTAACACTTAGAATGTCTCTGAAAGGATAGGAAAGAAACTGTTAGCTGCCACTGGAAGAGGGAACTGGGTAGCTGGAAGACAGCGGGAGAGAGACTGACTTTTTGTGGTCAATATTTTATAACTTAAATTTTCTATTCTGTGTATATACTGTTTATTCCAAAAATTAGGCAATTATTTAAAAAGTATTTTTAAAAATAAATTATTTTGAAAATGTTAATGACTCAAAAGTAACTTCCTAACCTTAAGTGAAAAAAGCATACTGAATGTGTACGTGTGAGTAGATATAGTGAAGTTCATTGAAAAACTGCTGGAAGTGGAGCAGAATTTTTTTTTTTCCCAGACAGAGTCTCACTCTGTCACCCTGGATAGAGTGCTGTGGTGCCATCGCTCACAGCAAACTCAAAACTCTTAGACTAAAGAGACCCTCTTGCCCCAGCCTCCCAAGAAGCTGGGACTACAGGTGCTTGCCACAACCCCCAGCTGGTTTTTCTGTTTTCAGTAGAGACCAGGTCTCGCTCTTGCTCAGGCTGGTCTCAAACTCCTGAGTTTAATCAGTCCACCTGCCTCTGCCTCCCAGAGTGTTAGGATTACAAGCCTGAGACACCCAGCCTCAGTGTAGCAGAATATTAACTTTGGTTTTAACTGGGTGATGAGATTACTGGAATCTTACATTTTCCTCTTTTTTGCATTTTCTGAGTTTTCTGTAAAGAGTATATATTTTATTATAAAGAGGAAAAATGATTTTTTAAGCACAGTACATCTCTGTCCAGCAAAACCTCCTTCTCTGGAGTTCTAGTTGTACATGGTGCCCTGAGCCTTCAGGTGGGTCTGACCTGCTCTCTAGGACCCCAGTGACATGCCCCTTCAGCAGCAGAGGTTGTTGGAGGCTCTTGTGCTGTGGTTTGGCTCACTTCTCCTAATTCTTAACTCCGTGGCCTTGAGGAACAAGCACTATTCTCCTGGGTGGGGGTGTATCAGCACATACGTTCAGCTGTCCCATATTTACTCTGAGAGTTTCTTTTTGTTGGCCTTGGACCATGTCTGCTGTTTGCATTTGTTTGTTTTGAGACAGTCTCACTCGGTTGCCCAAGGCTGGAGTGCCGTGGGGCCAGCCTCGCTTTGCCCCTACCTTGAGACATTCGTCTACCCAAGCTTGGCACGAGCCTCTTCATTTGGTCTCTTTTCCCAGGCTTCCCTTGTGCTGTTAAGGTAGATGTTTTTCCCTAACATTTTCAGTACGGGTTCTGTTTTTTTGAAAGAGCAGCTAAGATTTGAAAATCCCATGTCCTCTATGTGGGGCCTCGTGTACCTCCTGAAGTTTCCATGTCATTCTCTCAGAAACAGGACGTACGCAAATATTTGCCCTCCGTTCAGTGATCACTGAAGCCTTGCCGTCATCCGTGGGCAGGGCTGTGCGGTGCTTTCTTTGCCCAGAGGTATTCGGTCTTCCTCACAGGTACCAGGAGCTACTGGATGACAACCAGGCTCCCTTCTTCCTGTTCACGTGTGCGATGCGGTGGCTGGCGGTGCGGCTGGACCTCATCAGCATCGCCCTCATCACCACCACTGGGCTGATGATTGTTCTCCTGCACGGGCAGATCGCCCCAGCCTATGCAGGGCTGGCCATCTCTTACGCTGTCCAGGTCAGTGTCTGGGGCAGAAACATCATCTTCACTTGCTTCAGTCCTTTTTGTGCTGGTGTTGAAGAGGCATGATGGGGTGGGGGTGGGGGGGGGTCCACCCTAGCCATTACTTCACCTCTGAACCCCCAGAGCTCCTGATGTGATCCAACAGTAACAACCTGGATTTGACTAGGGCAGGGAGGGTGTACTCTAGGAATAAGGGATTGAAACATGATTTTGAAAAGAGGTTTGTTTGTTTGCTTGCTTTGAGACAGAATCTCACTCTGTTGCCCAAGGCTAAAGTGCCACAGTGCCAGCCTAGCTCACAGCAGCCTCTGACCACTGGGCTCAAGAGATCCTCCTGCCTCAGCTGCCCAAATAGCTGGGACTACTGGCCTCTTCTTGTCCACTAAGAAATAATATGTTCTCAATTTTTTTTTGATTTTGTTTTTGCTTTTTTTTGAGACAGAGTCTCACTTTGTTGCCCTCAGTAGAGCGCAATGACGTCATAGCTCACAGCAACCTCAAACTTTTGAGCTTGCACGACTCTTTTGCCTCAGCCTCCCGAGTAGCTGCAATGACAGGTGCCCTCCACAACACTCAGCTATTTTTTGTTGCAGCTGTTATTGTTGTTTAGCTGGCCTGGGCTAGGTTCCAACCCGCCAGCCTCAGTGTAAGTAACTGGCGCCAAGCCCTCAATGTGCTTCTTCTGTGCGTTTGCTTTTCCCAGTACTCTTACATATGTAAACCCTTTTGGCCTCTAGGCATATTGAAGGTCTTCAGATAACTCAAAGAACACTTGGAGGGCCAGGGCCCTGGCTTACGCCTATAATCCTAGCACTCTGGGAGGCTGAGGCTGGTAGATCACTTGAGCTCACATGTTCCAGACCAGCCTGAGCAAGAGAGAGACGCCGTCTCTAAAAACTAGCGGATGGCTAGTCCCAGCACTTGTGAAGCTGTTTGAGGTTGCTGTGAGTTATGATAACACAGCACTCTACCAGCGGCAAGAAATTGAGACTCTTGTCTCCAAAAAAAAAGAAAAATGAGAACTTGAACACTGACTAGATATTTGAAGATATTTTTATTTTTTAAACATTGAAGATCAGGTAAAGAGTTCTATTTTTAAAGACTCTTTATATTTAAGAAAGATACAAGCTGCAATATTTATGGATGAAATAATAAGCTACCTGGGATTTGCTTCCAAATAATATGGGGTTGAGGGGAGGAGTAGGTAGGACTACAGATGGAGCAGTATTGGCTGTAAGTTGATCATTTTTTAAGATGGCGTTTTGGTACAAGGGTGTCCATTATATTCTTTCTCCTCTTGTATATGTTTGACACTTTTCCATATCAGAAAGAGAAAAGTAAACAAGGCACTCCAGAGCTACATGGCTTCATACTCTTAAGACTGACTTGCTGTTGGGTTGGGAAGACTGTGCATGCCAAGTACATGTTCTGGAATCCCCAGAGGGTGCACATGGGCTCTGCATTCACTTCTTCCCCAGCCTTTTATCTCTATTTGACTTTCCTGGAAGCAAGTCACTGGTTGATCCCAGGTTGATATTTCCATTTGTTGTGACTGTCACAAACAGGTTCGGGTAAAAGTAGTAAGTCCAGAAGTTATTCAGATACATGTTATTGAGAATATAAAGATATTGAGAGGTTAGACTTGGGGTGTGAGAATGTGGTGCCAGCAGCACCGTAATGCCATCTGCATTCACTGAGCACGGCATTTGACGCAGGCTAACAGGCGTTGTCCTGTATGTTTGGGAATGACTAGGTCCCTGTAACCAGCTGCTGTGTGTGCCCAGTTCTCTTACATTTGAGGTGTGGTCCTCCAGAAAAGGAAGTTGTCTAGCGTTGTCCTGACATGCATTGATAATGAATTCTCTCTTGGATTTCTGATTTCCATTATCAGTTAACAGGGCTGTTCCAGTTTACGGTCAGACTGGCGTCCGAGACAGAAGCTCGATTCACCTCGGTGGAGAGGATCAATCACTACATTAAGGTCAGACTGCTGCCGGCCTTTCACTGTGCTCTGACACCCCCCCACAGGTCGTTTCACACTTTATAGTCTCAGTTGGCTGTGCAAGGAGGAGGCTTGTTTCCTCTGCTTGTGTTTTTTGTTTGTTGTTTTTTGAGGAGCAGAAAAGAGAAGTTTATTAATTTGCTGGCAAATAGGGAGGCTGGCAGACTCTTGTCTCAAAAAATACCAGCATCCACCCTCTGTACAAAAGCATAGAACTTTTAAAGGTTCTGATTAATCCCATAATCCCATTTTGGGCTAAGATAATTTTGTGGCTAGGATGATGCCCACATTCATCCTAGCTTCGGCTAAAACGAATTCATGACCTCTGCCCAGACATTCCTTTGAGCTATCTCCTGTGCCACTAAGAACAAAAAATAGTTGAGCGTGGTGGCTCACACTATAATCCTAGCACTCTGGAAGGCTAAGGTGGGAGGATCCCTTGAGCTTAGGAGTCCAAGACCAGCCTGAGCAACAGTGAGACTTCATCTCTACTAAAAATAGAAAAATTAGTTGGGTATGGTGGTGGGTGCCTGTAGTCTCAGCTACTTGGGAATCTGAGGCAGGAGGATCACTCGAGCCCAGGAGTTTGAGGTTGCTGGAATCTAGGCTGAGGCATGAGGATCGCTCAAGCCTAGGAGTTTGAGGTTGCTGGGGTCTAGGCTGAAGCTACAGTGCTGTAGCCTGGGCAACAGAGTATACAGAGTCTCAAAACAAAACAAGTTTCTAATTATTTTTGTAAATTGTGTCCAGTTGAGAACTTATGTTCATGGATTAATTTCCAGAATGTAGGCTTGGCATCTGTGGCTCAAGAGGCTAAGGCGCCAGCCACATACACCTGAGCTGGTGGGTTCAAATACAGCCCATGCCCACCAAACAGCAATGACGGCTGCAAACAAAAAATAGCCGGGCTTCGTGGTGGACGCCTATAATCCCAGCTACTTGCGAGGTGGAGGCAGGAAAATTGCTTGAACCCAGGAGATGGAGGTTGCTGTGAGCTATGATGCCACAGCACTCTACCAAGGGCGACAGCTTGAGACTCAATCTCAAAAAAAAAAAAAAAATTTCCACAATGTATAGAATCTCGTCCGTTCAGTTTAGCTGACTAACGTAGCTTTTCCCTTACATTGTGTAAAACCACATTGTTTTGATTCTGACTCTCATTCAATTGTTCTTAACCGGGATGGCCATCAGGATACCTACTGAGCTTTGAATAGAGACCTCATCTCTGGAGATTGTGAAGTGGTGGATTGGGGCGGGACCTAGTCTTCTATAGTTTTAAAAAGCTCCATAGCTAATTCTAAATCCCATTCAAAGCTTAAAAACCAGTAAATCTGGTGGTTCATACCCTGAGTACTTAGCTCTTTCCACCTTTTTCCAGGAACCTTTTTAGTCTTGCCATAGGGTAGCATCTTGCTATATCCTTCCTGGAACTCTTAAAGTAATTTCTATAGAAAGAGGCAGAGTCATGAGCAGGTAGGATTCTCAAATTTATCTCAGATCCCAAGAGGTATCTATTTTGTGAACTGCCCTGAGACTTTATCAGCATTACGTCATTGGTTATGTGGGAAGAATACATTCTGAGTTCCCAATAATTGACTTAGAAACATAGTTTTGAAAAATTACTCTTTCATTTGAGAACACTGTGTATGTAAACTGCATTTTCTAACTGAGACATGCTTCACTGATTTGTGATGACAATGAACCTCGTTAGTTATACAATATTTCTTAAACTTACAAATGACTGTTCTCGGAAAAAAATGTCAGGTAGCTATCTAATGGGTCTGGTAATAGCTGTTCTTCTTGTTTAGATATTAGCCTCTCTGCCCAGTGTTCTGGTCCGTGGACAATACGTGTGTGCACATATGGGTGTGTAGCATTTGAGTTAATGTTCCCATTGGTAGGAATCTGATGCTGGACAGGTCAGGATTATGGTCAAGTGCTGGTACAGGGTGGACCCTGCTCAAACCAGTCACATTACTGAGGACTGCCTGTCTCAGCACAGAGGCCTTTCACCTTGGAGTTTTAAACTTCAAGCCCTAGTCCCTGGACCACTGCAGTTTTGGGCTCTAACTTCCCTGAGGCTGTGCACACCATGGCCAATTGCCATAGAGTTCTTTTTGTTTTGAGGGTGCATACAGTCAGGTTATATTCATTGCATTTGTAAGCTAAAGTTCAGGTTGCAGTTGAGTCCCTCACGGAGGAAGTGTGCCATATGCCCCTCTATTGTGCCTGTTAGGTGGGAACTTAACCAGCCTCCCACCCGCTTCTTGAATTTAATTGTCTTTCTCTCATGTGGGCCTATAGTTACTGATCTACTATTTTCTACATAGTATGGGTGCCTGGGATGCTTGCCTTTCCATTCTTTGGATACTTTACTTAGGAGAATGTTCTCCAAATCCATCCACAAAAGATGCAGCCATTTTTTTTGTCTGAATAGTATTACGTGGTATCCATACACCTCAGTTTATTAATCCATTTATGAGTTGATGGGCACTGGGTTGTTTCTACATCTTCGCAGTTGTGAATTGAGCTGCTATAAACATTCAAGTACAGTGCCATAGAGTTTTAAAACATTGTGAGGTGTTATTGTTGGTGACAAAAATTACCTAATGCAATTACCACACCATTTTAAAGCTGCAATGGATTTCCAAGATCATCTAATCCAATCCCTACAATTTACAGATAAGAAACTAAGACCCAGAGACAGATGGCTGGGTCACACTGCTGTTAGTGCCAAAACTGCTGTTAGAGTCTGTGTCTCCTGGACTGACCAGATATGTCACAATGCCAGGATCTGATGAGACATTCCATAAATGTTGGTTTCCTTCCTTCAGATTTAGACCAATGGTAATCAAATGGTAGAATCCTATTTGAAATGGAATATTTTCAAGGAATTCCAATAAAAACTGCTGAGATTGAAGAGGGGTGGGTGGCTTCATGCCTCCACATAGGTTCTCTCTTAGCTCCTGAGGCATGTTTGTGGAACAATTCCTGAGGCAGAAGAAGGTAGTTTGAAAATTACTGTGCTCCCTCAGCTGCTGCTGGTAGCCTTTGTGCTCTGTCTCGCTTAGCCATGAGAAGCATTTACTAGCAAGGATGGCAGCTACCTCTCTCTGGCTGCCATGCTGTTTATCCTGGTTTTACTTCTCTGTGACAAAGACTTGTAGCTCCCCAAGAATCTGTAGTCAGTCTGAACCAGCTCTGAACTTCTGTCTCCCCAGACACTCTCTTTGGAAGCACCTGCCAGGATTAAGAACAAGGCTCCCTCCCCTGACTGGCCTCAGGAAGGGGAGGTGACCTTTGAGAATGCAGAAATGAGGTACCGAGAAAACCTCCCTCTGGTCCTGAAGAAAGTGTCCTTCACCATCAAACCTAAGGAGAAGATCGGCATTGTGGGGCGGACAGGATCAGGTAAGGAGGTGCACAGCCCTTTCTGGAGAAGCCTTTGAGCCTGAAGTTTTCTCCAGAGGACTCAACAATTTATGGAATATCACTTTCCACCCTTTAAACTTTCCACCCTTTTAGGTAAGTGTTTAGTGTCTCAGGCCTCTCTGAAACTAATTTTCTAGGTTCATTTTTAACCTTGTGTTGCTGACGTTTAGTGCTTTCTCCAATCATGAATGTTATCAGTTCTCAGTGCAAAACTCTTGGAACACAGAGCAAAGGACTAAGGCAGGGAAGTACCCAGAGCTCCATCTGCCAGAGATAAGCACCAGTAATGTTTGGTGGATATGGCCCGGCACCCTTAGTACAGTGGTTATGGCGCCAGCCACATACACAGAGCATGGTGGGTTCGAACCCAGCCTGGGCCAGCTAAACAACTGCAACAAAAAAACAGCTGGGCGTTGTAGCGGGCACCTGTAGTCCTCGGTACTTGGGAGACTGAGGCAAGAGAATTAATTGCTTGTGCCCAAGAGTTTGAGGTTGCTGTGAGCTATGATACCATGGCACTCTGTCAAGGGCGACAAAGTGAGACTCTGTCTTAAAAAAAAAAAAATTTGGTGGCTATCTTGTAATTCTTTTTCTATTAACACATATGTTTACAAAAATGGCATTTTACACATGCTGTTTTGTGACCACCTTTTAAAACTGTTAGTAGTTTTCTGTGTCAGTGAACAATTGCTGTGCAGCATAAAACAAAAGTCTGTTTTATAGATGTATGTAATTTATATTTAACCAGTTGGTAGGGAATTAAGATTAATTTTCATACTTATGAATAAAACTACAGTGAACATTCCTAAGAAATTAAAATATATAAAGAATTTTAAGGACTTTGTTATATATTGCCAGGATAGCCTCATATTTGTCAGAAGCTGCCTGCTTTGGAGAATGGAAATTATTTTTCTTTTCTGGCATCAGTTGTAAAGAAATAGAAGCCAGGAATGGTGGCTCACACCTGTTATCCCAGCACACTGGGAGGCCAGGCATGGTGGCTCACACCTGTAATCGCAGCACTCTGGGAAGCCGAGGTGGGTGGATTGCTTGAGCTTAGGAGTTTGAGACCAGCCTGAGCAAGAGCAAGACCCCATCTCTACCAAAAATAGAAAATATTATTTGGGCATGGTGGTGGGCACCTGTAGTCCCAGCTGCTAAGTCTGAAGCAAGAGAATCGCTTGAACCCAGGAGTTTGAGGTTGTAGTGAGCTATAGTGATGCCATTGTACTCTATCCAAGGGGACAGAGTAGTACTCTAACAAAAAAAAAAAAAAAGAGAGAGAGAGAGAGAAAATTAACAATCCTTAATTTTAGGCCTTTTGCTTCCCTCTATTCTTAGAAATGTGTTGCTATATACCCCTTGGATGTCTAAAGTCAGGACTTGAGTAATTATTTCTTTCCCTCTTTCCTTCTTGAATAACATTTCAGAAACTGAGGCTTATCTTCTTTTACTAGCCTATTATCCTTGTCTGAGAGGTCTCTTGGGTTCAGTTAGCATTTACTTTCTGGGCTCCAGGCTTCCTTGGTATCAAAACTCCTATAGCTGCTTTTTTTTTTTTTTGAGACAGAGTCCCACTTTATTGCCCTCTATAGAGTGCTATGGCATCACAGCTCACAGCAACCTCCAGCTCTTGGGCTTAGGCTTTTCTCTTGCCTCAGCCTCCCAAGGAGCTGGGACTACAGGCGCCTGCCACAACACCCAGCTATTTTTTGTTGCAGTTTGGCTAGGGCTGGGTTCAAACCCACCACCCTTGGTATATGGGGCCAGCGCCCTACCCTCTGAGCCACAGGTGCCACCCTGTAGCTTTTCTTCTTGCCAGTAACTATAACAAATGGCTTTTGTCTTTTCTGACCACTTTATTTTATTTTATTTTATTTTAGAGACAGAGTCTCACTCTGTTGTCCTGAGTAGAGTAGCTGGGACAAAAGAGTAGAGTAGCTGGTCCTGAGCTCTAGCAATCCACCCACCTCGTCTTCCCAGAGTGCTAGGATTACAGGTGTGAGCCACCAAGCCCAACCTGGCCAACTTATTTTAAAGAATGTTCTAATGCAGGGGTCCTGAAACTTTTTAAACAGGGGGCCAGTTCACTGTCTCTCAGACCATTGGAGGACCGGACTACAGGCCTGGGATGAGTCGGCTGCTAAGCAGGACAGGCAGCAGCGGCAAAAACACCCGGTGGGCTGGATAAATGTCCTAGGTGGGCTGCATGTGGCCTGCAGACCATAGTTTAAGGACTCCTGTTCTAAGGAAAAAGGAAAGCCTTTCCTTCTTTCTATTTCTTTTTTTTCTTTTTTTGAGACAGAGCCTCAAGCTGTCCCCTTGGGTAGAGTGCTGTGGCATCACAGCTCACAGCAACCTCCAGCTCCTAGGCTTGAGCGAGTCTCCTGTCTCAGCCTCCCAGGTAGCTGGGACCACAGGCACCCGCCACAACGCCCGGCTATTTTTTGGTTGCAGCCGTCATTATTGTTTGGCGGCCTGGGCTGGATTCAAACCTGCCACCTTAGGTATATGTGGCTGGCGCCTTAGCCACTTGAGCCACAGGCGCCAAGCCCCTTCTTTCTATTTCAAGGAATTATTTTTGTATCAAGACACTGCCTCCAGGTTATTCACTCTGCGAAGAGAATCTTCAGCCAAGGGCAGTGGGAAGGGCTGTCCTAAAATGCCTGTGTCATTCTCCCTGGAGTCCTCTCTGCTCATATTCAGTGGGTCCCCAGGGATACCCTGCTGTCTTGAAAGCTGACTGATCTCCTTTCCTATGGTTTCTCTTTGACACAGATAAAACAGACTGAAATATGTACCAAGGTGTCATTAAGATACAGAAGAAAAATAAACCAGGAAACAAAAAAGAATGATAAATTGTCTGATTTACAAAGTCTAAATTTTAATCCTAACATGGCTGCTTTCAGATTTTATGACACCACTACGAGGGCTTTGTTGCCCTTTCCAGCACATTCCATCAGTGCAAATGTAGTCTAGGTTCAGAGAACTGTGAAGTCTTCCAGCCTAGGCAATTCAAACCTAGGTGCTTTTTGTTGAAATGAAACAGCCTTTTTCCACTGATTAGTGTACGATGCTTCCTTAGCACAGATACCCATATTAAAACAAAGCACTGCCTCAGTCATAGGGGAGTGTCTCTCTCCCCTCCTTACATCTCTGTAAGGGGCCAGTAGCCAAGTCTTCCAATCCCGAGTAGTCATTCATTTCTAGGAGAAAAACTGTCCTGCTACAGAAAAGATGAGGTTTCTCTACTTGTGTCTGGTAGGTGGGTGCGAGGATTATTGCATTAGGAAGATGGTGGTTTTCAGGTTCCCATGAGGTAGTTTGACAGGGGTATGCCTAGTGGACGAATTCCAACAGCAGGGTTGTGACTGCAGACACTGGGGATAAATCAGGCTATCTACCCTCAGTGCTACTGCAGAAACTGAGTCATGGTGACCTCATTGCAGTTCTCAGGATAGGTCTTTCAGAACACGGAGGCAGGAGAAGGTAGAAGGTTCAGGAACTAGGGGTGCAGCCAAAGGAGAGTGGTCCAGCAGCTAATGCACTACAGCCCCAAATCTAAACCCTGGCTCCGAGTTGCAGAAAGATAGGATTAGGGACAAGCTCTTTTGTTGTTGTTGATGATGCTATATAGAGAGAGCCTTTTAAATGTATATACCTTTGACACTGTAATTTCAGTTCTGAGAATTTTTCCCAAGGAAGTCATCTGAGGTAGGAGTAAAGTTTCAGCCCTAAGATACATCCCACCACATTGTTACAAGTTTTGGCATGGTGGTTCATGCCTATAATCCTAGCACTCTGGAAGGCTGAGGCAAGGGGGTTGCTTGAGGTCAGGAATTCCAGACCAGCCTGAGCAAGAGATGGGGGAATTACCCCATCTCTAGTAAAAATAGAAAAACTAGCTGGGTGTTGTGGTGGACGCCTATAGTCCCACCTACTCAGGAGGCTGAGACAAGAGATTGCTTGAGCCCAGGAGTTTGAGGTTGCTGTGAGCTATGATGACGCCACAGCATGCTACCCAGAGTCTCAAAAATAAAAAATAAATTAAAAAATAAACTAAATGTCCGACTTTAGAGGACTGATCAAACAAGAATACCTCCATATGATGAAAACATTAAGTGAAAACATGTTATACAACATTAAGTGAAAAAGCAATTACAGCATTGTATCTCTGTTATGACTCAACTCTGAGGAAAAGACTGAAAGGAAATGTGTCAAAAATTAATAGTAACAAGATCGGGGAGATCAATGTTGTCATCGTGTATTCCTTATATAACTTCTCAAATGAAGATCCAATTAAGAAAACCTGTACTGGATGGGGCACAGTGGCTCACACCTATAATCCTAGCGCTCTGGGAGGCCGAGGCAGGTGTATTGCTTGAGCTCAGGAGTTTGAAACCAGCCTGAGCAAGAACGAGACCTTGTCTCTACTAAAAACAGAAAAACTAGCTGGACGTTGTGGCTGAGGCAAGAGAATCACTTGAGTCCAGGAGTTTGAGGTTACTGTGAGCCAGGCTGAAGCCATAGTACTATAGTCTGGGCAACAGAGAAACTCTGTCTCAAAAAAAATTTAAAAACCAAAAAAACGTATACTGCTGATCTCTTTAATACTGAACTCTTCATTCTCCTCCTCAAACCTGCTTCTCTGCTGTAGTCTGCTGTCATGATATCGTGATAGGGTCATTGACGCAAGGCAAAGCCTCCTTCCCTTGCGTGTGTGTCCCTGGAACTTCTGTTCCCCAGCTGCTGCCATGGTAACTGAGAGGACTTAGTCTCTCTCAGCTCTGATAATGGCACAAAGAGAGGGAAGGCTTGTTGTTTAGAAGGTCTCTCTTGGCCTGACTTTGCCTAAGAAGCATCAGAACCTGTGTACCTGCTCATAAGGTGACAGGAAGCATTTTTCCATTTTACTCTCAGAAAAATGGAATAGTCCCTCCCACTCCTTAGCCTGAAGTTATATGTTTTGAAGCTATCTGCTTGGTAGCCTGGGAAAGTTAATTGCTATTTTTTATTTCCATTATTTTATACATTATCTCAGTTAATTGGTTGAAGTAATGACTGAATAGAAATAGAAAAATAGATGAGTTTGCCACGAAGATAAACTAGTTTTGTCGTTACAGAATTTGCTAATAAAGCTGCTTTTCTGCCTGTCTTCTGACTCATCAGGGAAGTCCTCTCTGGGCATGGCCCTCTTTCGTCTGGTGGAGTTATCTGGAGGCTGCATCAAGATTGACGGAGTGAGAATCAGTGACATTGGCCTTGCTGACCTCCGAAGCAAACTCTCTATCATTCCCCAAGAGCCAGTGCTGTTCAGTGGCACCGTCAGGTAAGCACCTTCACCTAGAAGCCCGGTGGACATGGTGGACCAGGTGATGCTGGAGCCCACACGGGGCTGAGATCTTTTCCCTACACCGTGTGCTTCCTGTTGCAGAAGCGTGAAGCGGCTCCACTGCGCAGGCCACTTTGTTAATGAAGTGGGGCTGGGCGGCCTGCAGCATGGTGGCACAGAGGTCAGAGAGGTTTGGGCTGAGAGCTCTGTGCAGTGGCTTTGACAGTTACCCACTCCTGAGTCTGTTTCCTCACCCATAAAAGGGGGATATTTTAAAGCCCTGTTGTGAAGATTGAGTGAATTCACACAAGTTATACAGGTACAGAGCCTGGAAGACGGTAAGCATCCCGTAAGTGGTAAATGCCTTCACAGCCTCATCACTATCATCCTCCCCTGCCTCCTGCTCCATTCTCTCACCTCTCCTGGTAGGCTGACAGCCGCAGTGGGAATGACGGCTTCCAGACATGCTATTACTCAGGTGTTTTCATTGTTCTTTCATTGTCCAGTATCTTCCGCCACCTTTGATACTCGTTCCGGAATGTTGGTTGCTGAAATCCGCCAGTGATAACAAAGATAAAATTCCTCTTTGTGCCTTGTAAATATAGTAGCTAAGAAGGAAGTCTGTTTATTCTTGTTACCTTTCCTATACTTGATCCTACCTTTAGCCTTAAGCTTCTGCTTCCTAAAAACAATGGATTTCCATAATTTGTGTCCATTTCCATTTAAACTGCCACTCTTTGGAAATAAAAACAACTTTAACTATATAGTTGACCTAGATTGGTCCTTGGTTTTGTTTGTTTGTTTTTTTCTTTTAGCCATTCTAAAAGTTTTGTTGTCATTTTCTCTTTAATTTTTAGCAGTTTTAAGAAAAGTTGGTATCAAAACTTAATTTCAAATAACCACAGGCAGCATTCAGTCTTGTCTTTAAAACTAGGTCCTCCATCTTCTTTGGAAAATAGCATTTGAAATCATTTTTTTTCTCTTTTTTCTCTTTTTCTTCTCTCTTTTTTTTTTTTTCTCTCTTCTTGAAATCATTTATTGAAAAAGGTTTGATGGATATCTTAGACTTCTCAGGCTACTGTATATAGCAAGCAAAATATCATACAACCACATAGATTTATTTCTTATGGTTCTGGAGGCTGGGGACTCCAGAATGGTTGTCTGACGAGGGCCCTCTTCCTGGTTGGCAGACACCATCTTGTTATGTCCTCACAAGGCTTTACCTTAGTCCATACATGTAGAGAGAGGAGAGAAAGAGGGCTCTGTGTGTCTCCTTAATAAAGGCACTTCTGGCTTGGCACCTGTAGCTCAACCGGCTAAGGCGCCAGCCATGTACACCTAAGGTGGCGGGTTCGAATCCCCAGCCCGGACCTGCCAAACAACAATGATGGCTGCAACCAAAAAATAGCC